TATCTGAGCCAGTGCCTTAAATGAAGTGGAATAGCCTCATGTCTAGGCTGTCCCTGATGACCTCACGGCACTTGTATTTGCATGTGCATAGCCCAAGTGACGTTCGGCCAGCTGAACTGCAGTTTATCTCAGCATGAGGTGCTTTTCTTGGGACATGGTAGGAGGGGCCAAGACTCCAATACCTTTCTCATCCCAAATACACATTGCCTTGTCCATCCAGCTACTGGCCACACTGGTATGCCCTGTGCCAGGGTGTGCTTTCCCCAACAGAGACCCAGAGCTGTCTCTGCCATAGCTTACCACAAGTGGCCTCTAAAGGGCTGGGGCGTAAGGCAGAGGCAGCTTGTTCTGTTTGTACATTTACAGGGGATGAAAGCCAAACTGGGAAAGGACTTTGGTACAGTGCAGCCAAGTGACTATAAAGTACTGCTTTAAAAAGCCACAAGGTCACCTTTACTGACATTTAGATAAGGATTTTATAGAAGTCACAGGACTTGGGGATTGGCTTGTGCCTACAATCACAGGGGAGGGATGGATTTATGTGCTGGTCAGGAAGGCTACATTGTTGTGACTCTTTCATGTTCATAAATGCTTATTTATTAGCCTGTTGGATAAAAGAGGCTGATCAGAATTTCTCTTCTCATTTAATGTAGTTCCAGGTGGCTTCCTTGACTCTGCCAGCACACCTTCATGAAATTTAACACTCCGCTACTTACCAGTACTCTCCAGGTGCCATGTCCTTGCACAGTCTGTCTTCTTTCTCACTTGGTTAGACCTTTGCACAACTTGGCTTCATGGCAATACTTCATTTAAGCACAATGTGAGAACTAATACATATCATCCCTTCAAATGAAGAACCAGCACACAAACATGCAAGAATCTGAAGGTTTTGGACAGAGGGTCTTTGCTGATGATGTGTGTTGGGAACCTGGTGCTTGCTTGCGTATAGATATCCATATGTGCATGTGTGCTCAGTCTGAGAAGCAGCACAGATTCTGATTGTTAAGGCCTGCACAGCCTGAACAAGCAATGATGCAGCCTTGAGCAAACCTGAGAGCAATGAGTCCAGGAAAGTGGAGGACATGATCTGATGCCATGAAACTTCTGGAAAAAACATTATAGGCGAGCAAGTCTACATCAAAGAAACACCTGGCTCCACCACTGGTTTCTTTTCCTCAGTGGCAAAACATACAGGACAGGTTTTGGCCAGGTTGCAGAAAACACAGGGATCATGACAAAAATAATCCTCACCTGAAAACATGTGGTATAGGTGAGCATTTGAGTCTCCTTATTAAACTACAGTGCCATATAGACATTACAACATTTAGGCATTCTCTGTGCTTCAATACCCAGAAACCAGACGTATCTGTTCAGTGACTGTGGTGTGGATTGGGAACTTCCCTGCCTTTTCCTCATGTTAGCCTTGCAGGGAGATGCAAGCATGAAGAATACCACAAGCTTCATGCTAATGTGCTAAATATTTAACATAACTAGTCACTGGAGCCCCATCCCTTTCTCCCACTGAGGTGACCAAGAGACAGATCACAAAATTAATAGTATGGTCCCCAGAACTTGTTTCTTGATGCCGCTTGATGTTGGCAGGTGTGTTGGAGCCAGGCAGGATCAGCAGGCAGAAGTTAAGACAAGGGGGACAGGCAGCACAGCCTGCAATATTCTTGCACCCTGGCTGGGGCTGACTGGCTCATTCGCACAGTGCCTGGGAAGCAAGGTCCTGCTGCCTGCATCTGAGACCCTGATGAGTCTCCAGTGTCTGACACTGAAGCCCGAGAGAATGCAGACAGGTCACTAGCTTGGTGCCATGGGGAGCTCTGCCGTGCAATGGAAACCACAGCAGTGGGAGAAGAATCATATGTCAAGTGCAAAGCAGCAAGGATGTTGTTCAACCTAAGGGCGGATGCAGGTGTATAACCCATTTTCTGCCAGAAACAGCATTATTAGCAAAAAAGAAATTGCAGGAGTGCATGGAAAGCATAGGACAGCCATAAACCTGACCTGGCTGTAGTCAGTGTGTACGTGCTGGAGCAAGGAGGCTGGCAGCCACACAAGCCACATCCCATCGTGTGACCAGGAACGTGTATGTGACACCAAATGGTGCTAACGGCGAGGAGGGCTGGGCACAAGCACCCATCCTCCTTATGTAAAGCTATTCCTGGAAAGGAGGCAGGAAAATTTCTGGGCTTACGCTGATATGGTTTATCTCCACTAAGGGACTTTGTCCCATACCTGAACTAGAAAAGCTACGTGTGCTAGTAGCACAGTGGAAAGGGTGACTTCAACACAGATGCTGAACCAATAAAGCGTGGAGCTGAAAAACCCTTCTTCCACCATCCCCTTTCCTCTAGGAAACTTCCCTTGTCCCTAAAGCAGGGGCTTTTGCAGGAGCTTTATAGACTCACTGTGTGGGAATTACATATATCACTACACTATGTCAGGACTGCAGCCAAGGGCATACTCAGTATGCAGAGTAGCAAAGGTGCAGACACGTGGGTTTCACCAGAAGCATCCCAACCCACTGAGCCTGCTGGAGATAGCTCCACTGTTATTGGTATCTGAACTTGCTGGTTCATTTCAGCTTGGACATCATTACTGACCCATAGGTACAACCAGAAAACCTACATCAGGCCCCACATCTGACCAGCACAGGTTTAAGGATGGACCCTAGTGCACTGACACAGAGGGGTGAGGCAGGCAGAGCAAAGGGTCAGTGCTCCCAGTGGACTGACATTTATTCCAGGTTACTAATAACCAGTAGCTAGGCACAACACATATGCAAACCCTCCTTCCTCCACTACATTGCCCTACATAAAAATATCTAGAGACGATTCCAGTCCCACTCAGACTGACAGAGGCAGCTGCCATAGCAGAGCTTTTAATCCTAAAGCAGAGCCTGTTGTCACTGGCAGGAAATCTTATTGTGTTGGGCAGGCAATCCTAGACCTTAAATAGGTCGCCCTCCCTGCAAAGCCAGACAGACTAGACTGGAGTCAGATGAAGCAAGTTGCTTAAGCCAGGGACCACCTGGCTGTAACTTCATCTAGGTGACAGCATATGCTTTTGAGACCCTCTCTGAAAGGCTGAAACCCCAAGCAAGCTCCCAGAGGTAAAGTGAGGATTTGTAAACAGCAAGAAATCAGAGATGCTCTGGTCTAGGAAGGAATTCATTCCTTCACTTTTCAGAGACTGAAATTTTGTGGCCTTTGCCCTGACCAAAGGCACAGCAGATCACGCTGGTTCAGGATTGATTTTTGAAGGAGCTGGCAGCTCCTCTTCTGTCTCCATTGCACGCAGGGGGTGCTTTGAACCAGACCCTACTAGTAGTTCCTAATACAGAGCACCTCATTTTTCTTTCTCATGTTTTTCCTCACACTATCTCTGTGAGATAAGGTGCATTACTTTCTCCATAGCAGAAAAGAGCAGCCATGTCGACTACATGCATTTCTCCTAGCCACGCCAGCTGCTTGCCTCTGTAAGCATCCCGCTGCTGTGCCAAGGTGTGACTGTTCTCGACAGTTTCAGTTTTCTCAACAGAAAGACAGCACACTGCTCATTCACTTTGCTTTCTTCATGTCTCCACAGCTTGAGTGCATATGTCAGAAGACCCTACTGCTGAGGCCCTGAGCTGGAGGATGGGGATGGAGGAAGAGGAGGGAATGAGAACCTCAGTGCTTGCTTACTGTGGTCTATAACTGCCCCTCTGACTAGGTCCAGACAGAGAAACTGCACAATTCCCAGAGTCAGCTAGTCCACTGTGAACTTGGGTGTCAGGTCAAAGCTTTGCACTCAGAAACTCTTTTCAAGCTCCAACCATTTCTGACTAACCCTTGGGCAGCCTTAGGCACAATGTGGCCCTCAGCTTCTCCCCTCACTTCAGTAAAATCAGGTTACTTGTACCTCACTGTGGTACCGGGATGGGGAGAGGGCAACGGGCAGAGGTAGGTGCCTTGCTGCTCTGTCTGTCTCAAGCTCCCCCATGGGACACCCATTTATGTTTGTGTACACAGTGCAGTATGACCACAGAGACACCCCAGCAAAACTGCAAAATGGTACGGAGACCGAAGCTAGGGTCTTGAGAGCATACACTGCCGTTGCAACCTTCCTCTTGGGCTAAACAGCCCTGCTTTCCATTGCCTGGAGGGAGCAACACACTGTGCTGCTGCTGGGACCTGAGGCTGCTTGCATGTGCTACCTGCCCGTAAATAAGCAAAGGGCCTTCCCTCACCATGTACCCCTCCCTGCACAGCAGTGGCCATGGCCTTTAGTCAGGGACCATTTCTCTCAGCTCCAGCTGAATCTAGGCTGCTCTTTTGTGAAGTCCAGTAACCAGGTCATGACCCGGTGGTGACATCTGAGTGCCCTGAGTCCCCCAGCTCAGACAGATGCCACGTGCTGCTCAAGTCATGGACTGGCACTGCAGGTTGCAGTGCAGCTGGATATGTACGCAAAACACCTTTCCACTTTTGCCATCTCTACCACTTCTCACTGGAGTGCCTGTAAAGCCAGGAGCAAACACACGACACTGGTGCAGGAATTTTTATTTTCTGAGAAACACATACTTTACTTCCCAGTGCAACAGAAATTCAGATGCATAGCGGCGGCTGCCAGAAACCTACAGATCACAGGGAGTACTGCTCTTTGTAGCTTTGCTAACATGAGTTTAGCAACTAATGCAAGTTTCCAAGCTGGCAGACCCTGGAGACTGACTGGCTGCGTTCACCCCCACAAAGCAAGGTAATACTGTGCTGGAAGCTGTCCACAGGAACCTGCTAACAGTCTCACCTGTGGGAGGAATGGGACACTGTCCTCTGCTTCCCATCCTGACTTCCCTTTCATACCATTTGAGTCACCCCTTCACCCTCTCATTCACCACATTCCTCAACATTCCCCTTGTTCCTCCACATCCTTTCACCTCTGGCAATGCCATTCCCCTCTCGGATGAGACTGGGTTTTGGGAAGGGGAAAGAAAAAGTGGATAGGGATAGGCAGAAGCTCACAGATAACCCCTTACATTATTTTTCCTAAGCAAGCAGATTATTTCTCTTGTATACATGAAGGCAGGAAACAACGGTTTATCACGGATATCACTCTGAGTGCCTCTACGCTGCCTGGAGTGACTCTTGGCCTCTCATCAAAGCTTTCCCACACATCTTGGACGGCCAATTGTGAGATGTCCAAAACAGTGCTGGGGAAGCTACTCTAAGATGCATGGCCAGGCCTCCATGGTGGTGTCCCTCTGAATGTATGTGCTAACCCTGGAAACCGAACTCCTTGTACTTGCTGGCCATATCATTTCGGAACAGCTCCAGGGCCTTCTTCATCGCAGCCTGGGAAGGAGCCCCAAAGTCTGCAGGGTGTTTTTCAGCAATGACCTTGATAATGACTTCAGAAATGAACTGTGAGGAAAGAAAGAGAGAGAGGAAAACAGAAGGGACAGTCAAGGTTTATTTTCAGAAAAGCCAGAGTAATAAATAGGTTGCAGAGCCTGGAAATATCTCCGAGCTAATTCAGTAGCCCTTCCCGCAGTCTCTGGAGAGGCAGTGAGGTCTAGCTTGCAAGGAGCCTGGGCTGGGCAGAAGAACTGGGCTCTATTCCTAGCTCTGACGCTGATCTGCTTCATGACCTTGAGTAGACCATGGCCCTTCCCACTCTTTGTCTGCCTCATCCATTAAGGCTGAAAATTCACGTCCTGTGTTTGTACAACACTTAGTTTTGTGGGTCTTGGTCTCCAATGGATCCTCCAGGGCTTACTCTAAAATTGTACATCCCTCATGTCCAGCCACTGAAGTTCTTATGTAATGTAGTTTCCCAGGCACGCAGAGGCTGCACGGGCTGGTTTATTATTGTCAAGGGTTGCTCAGACTGCATGTGGTGTTTGGAATAGGAAATCTAAACTTGGATATTCACATACCATTCGCATACCATGAGCCCTTTCTGGGCCTCCTCCTACACAGAGACCTCGACTTGAGGGAGAGCTCACTGAAGTCCAACTAGCCATCAGTAAATAAAAATGCAACTCTCACATAGCTGTTTTGCGCACATTCACAACACATCAGACACCAAGATTCCCTGGCCTTTTCCATACCTCCAGATATTTGACAGGGATTTTGTGCTTGGTCGCGTGGCTTTGAGCCAGGGGCTTCAACTCTGACTCATGATGACCCTTTTGCTTCAGGATTTTGCCCAGTTGGGTAAGGACGGTAACTCCATGTTTCTTCAGGTCTTCAGAGCTCTTCATCTGCTCAGGGGTCTTCAGGCCTTTGAACCTTTCAAAGCGATCCAAGGTCTCAGGGTGGTCCTTAAAGAGTCTGTGGGCAAAAGTAGAGGGACTTGTGAGACTTGAGAGAGCTGTCATCCAGACCAGAGTTGAGGTCCAGCTGCTCCAGGTATCTCAGAGTATATGGACATGCAAAGGTGTGATAACCCGCTTCCCTTCCCAAAGAAAGCTCTTAGTTAGTCCCTGCTAATAGAGGCTACTTTAACCTGGAAACTCTGATGCTTTAGATTCTTTCCAAATTACCACCATTCACAGTCACTCCTTTTAGCATGCATGTAAGCCAGGGAAGCATCTGACCCTACTCTGAATCTGCTTTAAGTGTTTTTCATCCTTCTTCTGGTAGGTTGTTCCACAACCTGATGACATTCTCTGTGCAGAAGTTTCCTTTCTATTTATTTTGTAGAGGTTGCTTTTTATCATTAACAACTGATAAAAAGCCGCTTGTCTTTGGAGAGCAGAAGCTCCTGACATACCTCCCCTTGAGTATTGTATCTACTTTAATCCCATCCTCTTACATATGTCCTAACATGATTGCTGCTGCCTTTTTCCATTCCCTCTGGCTGTGACAGAGATATGGCCCTAAACATGTCCAACTAGAGCAACAGAGCAAGTGTCCCTATTTTTTGTATATAGCTCTGCTAACTCTTTGGCACCAGTCCCCTGGGTTATGTCAACTGTATTAAGATAGAGACAAGAGCCAAGGCTGGTCATAGTACTGAGAGGTGAGTTTTTGCTCATTCATCTGAAGGAAAAATAAAACCAGAAAAAACCACCTGTCTTCATTGACTTACTATTGCTGAGAAGCCAACCTGTAGAACCCTGGCTCTCACCAGAACCCTTTTCCCAGCCCATCTCTGCATTGACCAGGAAAGGAGAGTTCTAGAGGCTTCTCATACACAAAAAAAAGGGAGCAGCCCCCAGCCTCAGGTCCCTCACATCTGGGGCTCAGGTGTTCTTGGACATCAGCTGGATGGGAGAGCTTACTGTGCCCCCACCCTATGATTGCAGACACGGAGGAATTTGGTTTCTGCCCTTTTTTTCCCACCCTCCAGCTCAGCCCAGTTGCCAGCAGTGTGGTTCCTCCATCAGGAACCGTGGCACCTCAGAGAGTCATTGAGAGCAAGTGGATAACAAGAGTGCAGGGCTTTCAGGCATGCTGGTGCCATTCCATGCAGTGCTATACATAGGCACTCTGATCCCAAAATGGAAGTGAAAACAAGAAGGTGGAAGGGTGGCTAGAAGACAGGGTAGTGTTGTCCCCCCTGCTTCATCCCTGCTGCATTTCCTAGGAGACAGGATGCAGACACCACTGGCAACCAAGCTAGTAGAAAATTTCACTCTTTTCCCTGCCAGAGTCCTAGAGTCGAGGTGAAAAGGGGATACTGCCTGTCCTGATTATTAGGAGCAGTCTAATAGTTAAGTGTTGAGAGACATCAGCTCCCTTGCACAAGTTTATTTTCAGGTTTTACACCCGCATAATCCAACTAGCTGAAGCACCAGCAAAAGCAATGTCTGTCTTTACAGGCAGGGCCCTACAGCTCACATCCGTGAAGCAGCTCACCCAGGTTACCTGCAGCAGTGTCTGGCACTCCAGCCCAGGACCTCAGCCATGAAACCAGCCTCCCTCTCATGGTACAGCGGTTGCATGCTTGCCCTGCCCTCGGGAGGGTGCTGGTGCTGGGACTACTGGGGCTTGTGTCTCATCTAGAAGTGGACATTCCTCCTAAGTATGATGCCATGAGGGCCAGGCTCTCCGATGTAAGTATGGCTTAAACTACACTAACAAATATCTCAAGCACATGGAAAACACAAGCTGTTCTGCAGCAAAAACATTCTGTAACTGAAAGACCAGTCTTTGCTGGCATTCCATTTCAAAGGTCTCCAAAGGATTTCTATACTTTACCAGGTGCTGAGCACACCGCCATCAGCCTTTCCTTTTTATCCTGTATCTTTCCATGACACAGGTTGTGTCCCACCCAGAGAGATGAAAAAACCTTGCACCTTAAAGTGAGATGGAGTTATTTCTAAAAATCTCCATCCATCGTGTCTGGCTATGGCTGAATCATGTCTGCCAAAGATGATATACTCCTGAGACTCTTGAAAATTCTTCTGCGTATTTTTTTTTGTTTCCTTTGGAAAACTTCCAGTTGAACCAGTGTTTTCTAAACATATTCCCAGGATATGACATCTACCTAAGAAGTCTTTAACAATGCACACTTGGACACATTTCTAAATTAAGAGAGATCTGCCGGGCTTCCGCTGCCTCTCTCCTCCCTCAGAAACCCCTTGAAGGAACAAGAAATGACCTGGGTTGGCTGGGGAGCACAAAGTCACAGGGAACTGGGATGTCATCTATTTATTTAATGCCCTAAAATACGTGTAAGAAAAATGCTGTTACCTTTTCCATTGGAAACTGCTTTTACTGTCTTGTGGCAGTTCCAGAGCCAAAGTAGCCACCTTACAGAGATAAACTGGTGGGGAGGGCTCAGGTTCCTGCCCCCCCACCAGCATGCCTGCTCTGGACTGCATCAGCAGAGAACCATCACATTGCCACCTGGCTGCCCCCATCTCTCCCTCCACTTCAAATGGCAGCTGAACTGGGATGTGATAAAGAGGGTAAATAAAACAGCCCACTGCTTTCACTCATCTTTGAAAAAGCTTTGAATGGACAGTGGATTTTCCCGATGGTTTGGGGTCCTTCCTTTAGCCCATTTAAGCTAGGAAATCCCCCAAGCAAGTGCCACATCCCCATTGCTCTCCACAGCATCCGTACCCTTCCAGCACATTGTACTGAGCACAGGCTGGAGAGTCTCCTCAAGGAGACTCTTCAAGGACAGGCTAGGATCCAATGCCCACCCAATGTCGTTTTCCACTCTGCAGCCCTGAGGTCCCTTCCAGGTTGCATTTCTGTGACTTGCTGCTGGTGCCTGGGGTGTTCCCCTTTTGGGGGGCCAGGACCACAAGGGCAGCATGGGGGCAGGGGTCCTCTCAGATGGAGACCTCGCAAGCATTGCCACTCTGATCCCAGAATCATGGAGGAGGGAAGCAGGGGGAAGGATGTAGCTCGTTTCACACCCAAACCTCAAATTCATCATCAGGAAGCGGACAAGTGTTACCACCCAAAAAGCAAAATGGGAAGGGCTCTGCCAGGTAAGACTAAGGTGGGGAGAGGGAAACACTCAGGGAATTCACAGTTAATTTTACTGAAATCAGAGATTCTGAGAAAATTGTCACAGAGGTGATTTTCCTCTCCTCTCTTTCTCTGCCTCCCCGCATCCTTGCTGCAAAGCATCTGAAGGCCCGGGACACAGAATTCACTCCAGCATTTCTCGCTGCAGTGCTTTGGCAACAGGTCGGGCAGAGGGAGTGACAAAAGTCCCACCATCTTTTGAAAGCAGCAGTGGCCCACCTCTGCACCCATAGACAGATGGAGAGGCAGAAGCACGGCCACTTTACACAGTGAGTAATTTTTAACACAGAAACCACAGCAATGGAAAAACCACCACCCCACAACAAAGAAAACAGCCTGTTGAAATAAACACTGCCAAACACGAGCCCCCATACTAAATATACACCTTCCTTGGTCTCTCATCAAAAGCTCTCAGGTTTACTCTTAGGACTGAAGCATCTTGCCTACCTCATTAAAACTTCATGCCCATGGCCAGGTAGGTCAGACTCCACCTTTCCCCAGATGGTCAGGACCTGCTGCCATTCCTGATCACTCAGCCCCATGGTTCACTGATGACAGGTCCCAAGTGCTCCCTGCAGCTGTTTGCCTTTCCCCAAAGGGTAGCTGGAGAGCTCACCCACGGGATTTATAACCCCTGCTCACCGACCTACACCTGTCAATCATCTTGCTCTCATTCAGGCTTGTCTAACCTAATCAGCCTCCCTATTTTTTGCTAGCAAGCTATTTTGGGTCAGGTGCTGTTGTGGGTGCCACTGATGGCATCATTTCTGCTTTTCGTATTGGAATGGCACATGTCCCACTCTAGACAGAAAGGGCACTGCCGAAACACAGTGCCAGGAGCCTGTCCTGGGTTCCCAAGGACCTAGTGACAGTGTCAAGCTGTACAGCAGAAGATTCCTGAAGAGCACTGTCATCTGCAAGGCTACCCTGCCTCCCTCTCCCCTGGCCCGCTAAGGGCAGGCGGGAGAAGAGACTGGGATGGCTGGTAGCATCAGCTCCATTGCTCCAAAGGCCTTTCCTTTCCCATGCTGAGCTCACTCTTACTTACACTCACTCACTTACCCTGGGGTAATGCACTCCATTTACTAATAGAGAAGAGCACAGTGTTAGATGAGACATGTCCTCAAGAGCGAACCATATCCAAAGCGGCCCAGGCATCTCCCCCACCTCTGCAGGAGGGAGGAAGGGGATAAAAGCTGTATAGGAGCCAGTTACCCCGCACCTGCACACCAGGGTGGGTCCTTCTGCCTGCCTCTCTGGGGAACGCTCAGGATTAGCCGCTGGCTGAGCCTGGATATCAGAGCCAGCAGATGTACAGCTGAGCCAAGAGGGTAATTTGCAGCAGGCCAGAGACAGAAGGATACAGCAGGGTTTCACTCATGCACTCAAACAGGGGTTAAGGTCACTGGCTAATTCTGTCAAGCCAAGTGTCAATGTTGGTAGGAAAAGCCACCAGGCTGACAAACAGCATGGATATGCTTTGGGACACCTCCCAGCCTTTCTCCTCCAGCCCCGTCAGGACTGATAACGGCCTGGCACACCAACGGGGTGATTAATCCCATCCAGGGGGTGACTGCAGTCAGAGCACAGCCTGATAACAAAGCCCAGCCAGCGCTGCTGCCCAGAAGCATGCACCTACCTCTGCACCTTTCCAAAGGGGCACACACTGCAGGCATTGCAGGTGAGAAATATCAACCCAGGACTGAAGACATCTGCATGCAACCCCATGGTCCCTACCACAGTGCTGCGGGACCTGAAGTGCATTGCTGCCCCTACACCCATCCACTCTCTGCAATGCGGGAACAGTCTCCCCGCTCCAGCCTTGCAAGGGGACAGAAGTACCCACATACAAGGGTAATCAGGCAGTGAGGAGGAGGGCTGAGGCACAGAGTCTCACAGCCCTCAGAAACACACAGGTTTAAGGGGAATAGTTTGGGTAAGAAGGGTGCAAAAGCCAAAGGGAGGTGTCTGGCGCTGTCCAAGCCTAGAGGTAAGGGAATTTTGGCCGTTACATGTTGCAAGCCTCTATCAGCCTGTGACCCTGCAATCCTCCCCTTCTCTCTCCTCTGTGCACCAGTTCACATCCAAAAATCCACATCCTAAACACTTCAAGGCCATGATTTCATCCTGATTTACCTGCACAAACACCAGGCCGCTACGAATTAACCCAAACTAAGCTAAACTGATGGAAAAGAGCTTAGGGCGCCTTCAGCTCATTCCTCGTGTTTTTCTCCACAGCGCAGGGCTGAGACAGGAGAGGTCACATCCCTGCAGCCTCACTCCCCAAGTACTTACAGCAGTAAACAAGCATTTGCACCATCCCAGGCTCGGCCTTGGGTAGGATCCTGAATACTGACCTTACTGTTTTACACGCATTTCAGACATGACAGAAATGTGCTCCTGGTACACAAGAGGCTGCTGCTTCTGCACCGAGCTCTGTCATATTCCCCAGGCTGAAACTACTCATTTGCCATAATAACTTCATTTGAAGTTGGTCAACTCTCCGCTCTCTGTAACTCTTCCCAGGGCTATGAAGCCGACAGTCTTGGTATGGACATTAATGTTAAATAGTCAGAAGGCTTGAAAAGAGCATGGGATTCCATATTGCTTCTTTTTGTGAGTGAAGTACTAATGAAATGAAATCATAATCTCTTCTCCCTAGAGCTTAAATAAACAGCCTACCGAAATACTAAAAGCTTTATAGCGCACCAGACGGCACCTCAACCCTACAGCCACAAAAAGGACATAACATTTTAGTATCTGCAGGCATCTCCTCTCCCCCTTGGGGCAAAATCTATCACTTGCATAATCATCTCCATAAACACAGACTACAGAGAGCCAACATATCGGCCACCCCCTTCAAAAAGCGACGGCTGATTGAATAACCCATTTCAAACAGCGCTGGCCACACCATAGCTGTGGCTGGGCGCCTGCATCCGCACATAAGGTGCTCTCGCTAAACGAGCATAGAACGTATCGTTAATATATATTAGAGCGTGGTGCTAATAACGCCAAGTTCACAGGTTCAAT